CCCAGAATACATTACGATCACGAAAAATGCCTGATTTAGGGCAGATAAGAGGGTGGCTGAAATGACGCCTGGCCTAAAGTATATCGCAGCAAACAAGCAAAAAGAAAGAAAAAATTCCCCGAGCATCTCACATGGTGGAATTGTCTCAATACAAACATAAAATTACAAAACGGAGATTTAAAAAAAAATCAAATATGTATATGCTTTTAAAGCCAATTAATCGATTGACTTGGACATGTTCATATTTAAGCATTTAACTTACTAATGAACGAAAGTGCTTTTGTGCGACTGGATCGGTGTGACATACTGTATCTCTCTCTATATATATAAAGAAGAAAGTTTGTCTGTCTGTCTGTTCCTTTATGCATTTGGACCCCTTGGAGCCAGTGCAACCAAACTTTGCATGACCTCCTCTTTCATCCAGGGGAAGGTCGAGGGCTATGTTTCGATCCAAAATGTTCATTCCCTGGGTACTTTTCCGGAAGCCAGTATTGTCTGATATGGCATTGAGAGGAGCGACTCACTCCTCGATTCGATGGTGCAGTGGTAGCATACCTGACCGAGGATCAGGAGGCCAGGGTTCGATTCCCGGCCTCCCCAGCTTTTTTTTGTCCTCTCATGCCATCCAACTCTCCCCTCCCGGCCACCTGCATTACAGTACCCCGGGGGAATCCCAATTTTGTATCACTACAGTAGGTAGTAAGTAATATTCTTTGATCAAGTTTTCATCGAAAATATGTTTCAAAACTATAAAAGCATTTTACCAATAAGTTTTTTCCCTTAAAAATAATTTAGAAATTATTCAAACCATGCAAAAAAAATTTAAAGGGAAAGGGGTCCGAGCGCATTTTGCGACACCCAAGATCGGTAACTTATAGGAGACCATAAGGCTAATGTTCCCCAATTTGTCATGCATGAAATATTGAATTTCCCCGGGCAAAGCCGGGTACTTCAGCTAGTCCTATACATTAAAAACACAATGAAACTGCGTTCGTGCATATGAAGCCTCCGATGTTTGGGTCTGAGTGCATGTCTAGGGTGTACGTCTCCCTCGCGGAGGAGCACTTTTTTTTCCGGCCTTTGCGACTGTCGGATCCATTCTCGAGAACGTAATAGCCCGAGGGGGTGGGGGAAGAGTTCGGGTAGCTTAAGAAGACCAAAAACAAAATGACGCGATTGGAAATCGAACCGTAGACTTCCTGATTACGAAGCAATCGTGTTTCCACTACGCCACGAAAATCCAGTCTGCCACTACTTCTTTCCATGTCATCCCTAACATTAAAACGGGAGAGTGGCATTCTACGAACCACGCTTGCATTCAAACGCGTATTCTGTCGCATGTCCGACTTCTTGATTAGATGAAATAAATTATTTTTCCCCCCAAAAAAATAGTTTAAAAATGGTTTTGCAAGCAACGTTGCAATGGGCAGTCTAGGTACCCTGAACTTCAAACCTCAGTTTCCTAGGGGTGGGAAACCTGGACGATGGAGTTTAGTGGCTCTGTGACTGTGGGATCACAAGGGCCACCTAGGTGACGCAAAACAAGAGTTCGAAATCTGAACAAATCTGGTATTTTCATCCCCTATTTAGACACCGACGTGTTTGGAATGAGGCGTTGAATCATTGTTGACTGGGTATGGATTGAATGTATCACTGTTGTTACATCCATGCTACTTCAATATTGATTCAACGCGGTGACCGTCAACGTTTATACACCCACTTTGGACCAACATTCATTCAATGCTGGACCATTCACGGTCGAAGTATATGCAGTAAATGATTTATTTTTAAAGCTTCCTCCATCAGTGTTTGCAACAACTTAATTACTTCAGCCGATTTACCAAGAAATATTTATTTCAAGAGTAAGGTTCGTTTTTGAGCAAATAAGACAGTGGCTGAAAGGCACTCGAATTTCGTCGCACCAATGGCAGACCAGAATGGCATTTTCGGCTCGCATAACTAGAAGCAACGATTACTGTGTCAGAACCTTACTGTGCCAGACCTATTTCCCGAAATAGGCACCGACGTTTTTATGTATGTCATCAAGGGCTTGGTGTAGGAGAAATGACGTGAAGACACTTACTAGATATATTTTAATTAAGCCTGAACTGTAATGGCTGCTAAAAGTATTCCTATTTTCCTTACTAATAATACAAAAAGTCTTTTCTGGGACGGTCTTGATGGTACATGGTCTTCCTGTAGTGTTTCTCATATGAATGTCTTTTTATTTATTATTTTTTATTACTAACACGATTATCTGAGTATAGTGAATGCCTTTAGCACGTATCGAAGTAATATAGGTTATCCGAAGAAAGGACAGACTCACGTGAAACAGCATCACCGCGGCCGCATTGCTCACATATGAATTAAATGAACGCTTCAGTATGGCATCAATCCTTTAACATCGATTCAATGTTGAATCGATGTTGAAAAGATCAACACTGAGAGAACGTTGTCCGGTCAACGTTACATCAACAGATGTCTGGCGAGACAACTAGCGAAACATGCGAACAAACAAGATTTCCTGACCGAAATATGATGGCAACTACTTGTCCAACATGGTTATTTACCATATACATGCAATCAGTATGCGTCTCTAGTACTTTAGGGAACAGTACTTGATATTTTCTCCACAAACGACGCCTGGGAAGGAATTTGACTTTCTTGATATATTCGACCAATGTGGCAACCCAACCAAGCAAAACCCAGGATAATTCTGAGCAGGGTGATGGACACAAGAAAGTATGCGAGGACATGTTACCCCATGAGATCACGTCGCCCTGTTTTCGAGGATGAATCCAAATCATGATCACTGCCGAAGGGTGCGTGGAGTGAGGGTAGCCTCTTATTAAATCGCGATAATCGCGTCGGTGTCCTTCTGCTTCCGGGGGAACAGGATGCCTCTTTCTCATCTCGGCATTTAGGTTCGCATTGTCCGTGGATGGGGGATCTTAAAAAAACGATTCGGAGGATGGAGATCGTGTCCAGATGCTTCAGCCATGAACGGCGCATGCGCACGAATTAAATATATTGTTGAGACCTGTCATATCAACGTTGAATCATCGTGGATTCATTATTTCTTCAATGTTGAAGAAAATGAATTTTCAATATGGAGTCAACGTTGATAAGCAAATGTTGGAGCAACGTTGCAATCTTGGTTTTGAACATTGAATCAATGTTGATATACTGTTGATGTCAACGTTGAATCAATTGTTGATTAAAATGAACTTTCAATGTAGAATCAATGTTGACAGGCAACGTGGTTTGAACGTTAGCTGCATTGACGAAATGACGTTGAATCAACGTTGATACAACGTGAGTGTGCTACTTGGGATAGTGCATGTGATATATCAATCGCAAGCTCTTGCAAGAGCTTGCGATTGTGCATGTTTTATCTGCGAAAGATGAAAAAATAAGTAGCAACTTTAACGTGTAGTCACGTTGAACGGAGGGCGAGATTGCCCATTATCCTTGGAACAGAACCCTTATGTGTGGTGATAGGGAACATGAAAGTATGTCCTGGGTTCGGTGGTGTAATGATAGCGCAACTGATCGTGAAACAGGAGTCCCCGGTTCAAGTCTCGGTAGTCATGTCATTTTTTCGTCCAGCCCCGACAGCCTCCCCTACCTTCGGTCTTTATGACATACTAGCGAGTTTGTTTCCCCTTCGGGCAAACAAACTCGCTATAGTCGCGCCTTCGGCGCTCCCTTACCTTGGATAGTGATTAATTCATTCATTTTTTGCGAAGTGGGAAACACGTATTAAAAGTACGTCCTCATTGACATATGTGACATATGGGGTCGAATGTCTTAATTTTCTTCATCAAAATCATTACCTCTATGATTCTGTGTGCCTAACTTGAAATATTATCTTGTGTCCCTTTTTGTAAGGGTGGAGAATACATTTTGAAAAACTTCCCTCCAATAATCTACGCTAAGGATACATATTTCAAAATTAGGATTTCTCCTCTACTCAGCCATCAAACAGGTACTTCTGAGGGAAGTTTAAATTTCCTGTCTCTGTTTCGTTGGATCAAAAAAAATATCAGGAAAATGGGACTGAAAAAAGTGCACTAATGGTGTTAACGAATTTTTATTATTATTTTGAAATGTAGACTCAGGGAACTCCATGCCACCCAGTTTCAGCCTTATACGTTTCCCCTTTTTGCTGACGATAAAAAAATATATTTGGACCCATCCAAAGCAACCCATCCAAAAGCTGTGCTCTGGGGAAACGCTCAGCAAAAGTTGAATTTTTTCTTAAATCAACATCACGTCCGTTATGCGTGCGACAGCTGCTATTTTTCCATTTCTGCCCGATTCGCTAGGATATTAAAAATTCTTTAAAACGTTACGTCCTCAAGAAATATGCCCCCTAAAAATATTTTGGAAATTTCACATTTGAGCTGAGTGCACCAGTCACGTTCTTGCCATGTTAAAGCTTTCCATGGGTCTCCGTTTGGTTGAAGCAAAGAGAACTATTTTAAAAATATGTTCCCCGAAAAGGTGTGCCCCTATGGCGTGTATCACCCAAGTGGAATTTTTCCTGAACTCAGCATGTGAGTAGCTACTTATATCAGTCAGTCACGATCGTCTATATATTGTATAATATGAAAGTAGAATTGTTTATTTACTCAGCTACTCATCAGGTACTTCTTTGCCAAGTTTAACTTTCCTGCACCCTCCGTTTNCCCAGGGCATGAACCTCCAAAGTCGGATTTTTTCTGAACTCTGCACCCCAAAAGGTACATGTGTACCAAGTTTCAGATTTCTAACTCTTCTGGAACATGGTTAGAATTAGCGTCAGTCAGTCAGTCAGTCACGATCGTCTATATATATTAGATGACCCAAAGAAAAGTTATATCCTCAAACATTTCCACTCAGTGATTTTGAGTTTTTCCTATATCCCCAAACTAACTAACCACAGAGAAAACATGAAGAGGGCACATCAAGCGAGCCGCATTCCTTCTATGTTTGGCCGAACGAGCGAGAAAGTCAGCCTAATTTGGAGGATGATTGACCAGTTGGATTAGAAAATAATCGTGGTCAAAGGCCACGACCAACTGACTCATCATTTCCCAAAACAGGTTGACTTTCTCACTCTTTGGCCTTTGCCCGAACTGGAGGAAAGAAATGTTAGGTCCACGAAACGTGCCAGTGCCATGATGGGCCTCACCAGAACAACGAAGACTAAACCAAAATGGCGTAAGGAAACTCGACTCGAGTACAGTGCGCATGCACGGGAAGGTAAGATCACAGATAGCAGACGCAATGGCCTGTTTTATGCCAAATTTCCATGGTCGACATTTTCAAAGGATCTAATATCCTTTATTTGTTTTTTTTTTCATTATTATTATAAAACCATGAATTGAAGAGTTCTCTGGAAAGGGGCAAATGTGCCCATACGCCCTTTTTCCATAGGGCTGTTTTAAGTCACTAGTCATAGAATAGGGTGGTCAGCAAGTAGTTAAAATGCATATTCAGCAAAGAAGAAGCAGATTTTCCGATGCGCTCACCATATAGCAAGCCAACTGCCTGGAAATTCCATTATGGCTGCCTCCATGAATATTCTATTAGCACTTGCGTGCTCAACGATTTTGGTGGAATTATTTCGTCTTTTCAAAGTGAAAGTGAAAATGAGGAAGAAACTAGACACGCGGAAAGGGAAAGAAAGAGGCCCATGGACGTCTTTCATTCATTTCAGTTATTCGAACTACTGGAAGGATGTGAGAAGTTGCAGGCATCCATGAAATACTTGCAGATTCAGATTATGAATACATTAATAATGGAACACTACTGAGTGATTGGTGAAAGAAACGTGTCCTGAATATTCACATTTTCACTGCTATTCTTCAAGAAAGACTTTATTTGAAATGTGAAAATGCATTCATTAATTAATTATTGTTTTTAACTGGAAAGGAATGGCAAAAGAATCAGAAAAAGTTTCAGTAGCGTAAATATAAAAAAATGGTGTATGTGCATTAACACTTTCTGCCTGCATCTCAGCAATGTGAAACAAAGAAATTCAGGACAACCCCAAGTTCAATTGATAAAGGCATAACATAACATTATACTGATAATTTAGTTTTAATCAGCTTCAGATGAGCTATGGGAAGTTTTTATCGTTATCTCGAATTGCATTATTTGCACATACGCCTATTTTATAGAAAACTCCTCAATTTCGTGTGAGCAAATTATCGATATCTCAAGATGTTTAAAACTTAGCTGGTGTGGATTTCGGAACTTTCCACAAACGCAGTAGTGGTTAATTTTCTTCTATACTTCAGTCTCATATCCACACAATTTTCATTCATTACTTGATGACTTTAAACGTTTCATGAGGATTCAAGTGCACAAATTTGCCAGAAATAAAATTATATTGGAAAAAAATTTTTAACTTTTATAATTTAAACTTCACCATCCAACACTAAATATACATTAAAGGGAATAAAAACTTAGTAAGTAATAGTGAATTTCCGAAGTGAATCTTCGATCCTGAATCAGATTTAAAGAAATCTTGCTTGGACGAAGTGTTATTGGCAGCTGCAACGTCGGAAATTGTTTCATTCGTGAAGATTGCTAATCTGCAATCACCATTTACCCTTCACTGCAAATGTAATAAAACTGTCTCATTTTTCCTTTGTATCTATTTGCATATTGTTCGTATCTTGACGGTTCACAATACGCACGAAAACTGAATTTTCCCTTGGCATGTTTTATATGAAATGTTGGTCTATTTGAATTTCCTCAGATGGATTACAGATGAGAATGGGGAGCGAAAAAATGAAGCAGAAGACTTACTTCAATCTGGACCTCTTCTATTTTAAATCTAAAGATGATACTCCAAATAAGACCTAGTATCAGTGCTGGTTTCCCATCCACAATATCCGTCGCTTCTATGTTCCCCACGGCAACCTAAACGAAAAAAAATCAAATCCTAAAAAAATAACATTCAGGAAGAAAATGACGAAAGGGTGTGGTAGCGGCGGCGAGAGAATACCGACAAGCCATTGTGGAGCACGCTTCCAATAGTTAAGGTGAAACCTCTAAAATTATGTCAACATATATAATAAACGAAAATAAAGCTATTAAGAGGACTTTCCTAATTCTTCGAGTTGGTCACATCTCTTGATATATATATTATTTCGCTGTTTCTAACTTGTTTCCTTGGATTTCAAGCGATTAATCATCATTTATTGGAAAACGTTCCATCATTATAGATACAATTAGATATCCTAATATTCCTCATGTTTCGCCTGGAATTTTTTGCATCAGTGGATTGAAATCACGAGGTATGAGGCCTGCAATGTTTATTTATGAATGCGTCGGGGCATAATTACCTCCTGCCAAGTTATAAAGCATTCAAGAGCTTACTTTCTCAAAGTTCGGATTACTAATGGGTGATTATTGATTATTATTTTGACCGCACTAATTCCTGTTGTGATTTTAATCGGGTGATTTTCCTGTAACAGTAAAGAATACAGTAAAACCTCGTGCAAAGGACCAAAAATAACCGACTCCGAAATAAGCGGGTTCGAATTATCGGGTTTGGTTATTTTGTAATACTGTACTATTCAGCCGGATTTAGTACAGAAATGCTGTTGTAAATTCGCGTGGTTTCCGCCTCGTATTCTCTTCCTTTTGTTGGTTTCATGGTCACCTTCTGCCAGCTTTTCAAGGGTGCTACGATTTTAAGGAATGTGGATAGAGTTGAAAGCGTCATGCCGAATTATTTTGCGATATCGGTCTTGGATTTGTCTTTCTGGTCAATTTCACAACTTATTAAATTAACTTGTACTTCCTATTGATCACCATTGCATATTCACCCTCGTTTGACTCACAACACAAAGAGAGAGAGAGACTGTGCAGCCTCAATACATAGTTTTTCGACTGAAGGTAGTACAGGTTTGAATGAGATAGGTAAGGATAGAGGGTGAGATTTAGTGAAAGGGGACATAGACTAGATTTAGAATCCTTCTGAATAGAAAAAATGAAGTTTCCAAGAAAATTAACAGGCCTTGCAGACATTTAGAGTGCGAAGTTTGAGGGAGGTCACCTGGAGGTCGTAAGCAAAAGTGCCCTTGGAAGTAAAGGAACACGTTTCCGAGTTCATAGCTCACGGGACCAGAAAATCCCTTCGAATTTCAAAGTATCTGTATTTCGAATCATCCACACTATAAGGCATACAAATCACTATCCTCTCGGACGGGGAACGTAGATGACTTCGAAGTATCCTATACCTCGAACTATCCGATATCGAATTAACGAGGTTTTCCCCTAACTGGTGATGTTACCCTCTTCCTTCATTTCCAGATCGACAAAATTCATTTTTCTCTTCTCAGAAAATGCAAAGCAAGCTTGGTAATGTCTAAGCACTTGTGAAAAAAGGTAAACATCTGCACCATGATTTAAGGGGGATACCCCTTTAATCTCAGCATTCACAAGGTCTATGCTGTTATGGAGCAGCACAAATTACTTTTAAAAGTATGAACAGATGAAATGGAAGAGTGATTGTTTTTTCTTACCAGTGAATGCAATACTAAACTTCTGCATTTAGAGAGATGGACCCCTCGAAAAAACCTTGAAGATGGACTTCTTTCCTGAGCCTGTGCGCGGTGGCCAGGAACAAATGGTTCGCCTCATATTTAATCGTGGACGCGTGCAATCCTTGGATTCATGGCACCAGGTGGAAGGCACAACCGTCAACCATGCCAGAGTTCCCTTACCTGTAGCAACTCTCAACTATAGCAGCTCACCTCTCCTCGTTCATCGGAGAGATGGCGAAACAAGAGCTTGGCCTGTGGAGCTGTCTCACACACACGCACACACACACACACACACACACAAAGCTCATTTGTCGCTCGGCCTAGCTAACTGTCAGGATCGTACAAGCTATATGTTTAACCTCCGAACCGGCTTTCCGATTGAAAAAAAAAAAACCGAATTCAGCAGTGTCATTAGTTGGTCACATGAACAGTTGCATTCATCGCATGGCAATCAAGCGGCAAGGCAGGTTGTCTGGAAGGAAATCCAAGGGCCTGCCCTCATGCTCTGGTCAAGTCACCTATAATATCTTGGAAAGTGTAAAACTGTATATTTTCAATTCCATCCATACCTTTCGTTTGATGAAGTTGAGGCATATGTTCAAGTTATCGATCATTTGGACCCTCATTCGGCCATTGTTGGGCTTCGGAAGTCTTTCACCAGATAATATCTCAAGAAGTTTCAGCAGTTTTTTTCCATCTGCCAGGTCCTCGAATAGATCGCCCACTTCCATATTCGCCTAAAGAAGGCAAATAATTCAGGTTCATTGAAGTTTCATTCAAAGGCTAGTTGGACAGAAAGGCATGCTGCTGGCTTCATATGAGTTGTTAGCCCGGTTGACAGCTTACTTCGGCATTTCAATAACCGTGTAAATGCCATCGGTTTAGATATCAATTTAAAAGAGAACACCAAGAACTCTCGTAAGGGCATGCATCCCAGTGATTAGACAGTGAATTTCGATTATGTTCACTGTATGACGATTGCTGGAGAATATACTTTATTTCTCGATAAAAAAGCATCACTGTTGAACGCGTTTGGGAACATCCCCCAAGACCCAGCCCATGCCAGATGTCTTTCTTTTTACCTCTGGTCGTATTCGGAATGTCTCATTTGCTCTGCGAACGTGGGAACGTTCGGCCTCGGTACTCGGAACTTGATAAGGACTGACATCAGTCTCTTGCGCGCGATTTGCTTTCTCTCACGATAATTAGCGAGAAGCTATTTTACGGCTGTTTCTCTGTCGCCGTTTTTGTGTCATGATAGGGGAATTATTTATTCAGGGAAAATGCTGAAAATTCAGGTTATAATATCCATACGTCCGTAAGGGCCCAGACGTCCAGAATAAGGACACACGCAGTCAGACATAAACATTTACAAAAACGCGACTGAATTGGCGTGTTTTTGAAGGACAAAACTTTACGTATGTTCTGCAAAATCCACTTTGGAACCAATTATCTTGGTATTGGATAATTGGATTACTCTGTGCGACATACCTTTGTAGTCAAACTCTTCTTCCACAAGTGTCTAAAGTTTCCTTGGAATCCATCCAGCGGTTATGGAGAAATCTCAACTGAAAGCAAATGACTGCATTCGGACAGTTTTGTCCCCAATGTCAAAACTTCAACTTTATTCAATACTCTGTCCACCTCCCTTTGGCTTTAATAATAGCCTCAAGTCGCCTAGGCATGTTTTCTACTAATCTTCGACATGTTTCTTGATCGACTTTGTTCCACTTTGTTTGAACCCGCTCCCACACCTCCAGCATACCTTTGGGCGGTTTTTTCGTACTTGTTGAGGCGCTGATTGAGGTGTGCCCAGAGAAGCTCGACTGGGTTTAGGTCTGGAGACTGAGCTGGCCACTCCAGAACCTCGAACGGCAGTTGATTCAGCCATTGTTGGGCAATCTTCGCCTTATGTTTTGGGTCATTGTCATGCTTGAAAATAACTCTGTTGAGGTCGAGATTATTTCAGTCGATCGTTTGCAATAATTCGACCTCCAGGATGGATCTGTAGAGCTGCTGGTCCATGGTGCCGTTGATCTTGCACATGTGATCGGTTCCCTCGATCGTCATGAAGCCCCAGGTCAGGATCGAGGCCGCCTCCGTGCTTGACAGTCTGCTTGATGCATCGAGCTGGCCGGCGTTCCGCCTCACGTTTCCAGTACCAGGCGCATCCATCTGAACTAAAACGGTTGATCCTGGTCGCATCTGACGAAATGACTCCTTTCCAGTCATCCATGTGGCTTCTGGCGAACTCCAGGAGGACCTTGATATTTGCAGGCGAGTTTCGACTTTTCTTCATCGGCTGCACTTAAAACCAGCTTCATGGAGACCACGGCGAATGTTCCTAAAGCTAACATCGAATTCCACGCCATCCCAGAGAATTTTGGTGATCTGCGTGGCTGTTTCCAGCTTACCAGAGGTGATACCATGGACGCAGAACCGCTTGTCTTAAGATGACAGCTTCTGGGGACGACTGCCTTTTGACCCTCTCCTGTCAGGAAAATGCTGTTTCTGGACTTTTTGGACAGATGATCTGCCGACGTTGCATCGCTTAGCAACCTCCCTGAGGAAACCTCATGAAAAAGGGAGAGAGCGTTTCGCAAGGTGCTGTAAAAAAGTGGATGCATGGTGATTGAATTGAAGAATGTCACTGAAGAAGATGAAGACAGCTGGAGGACGGTTTCTAAACTATAGGCCACCAGCTCATCTAACCACGTGACGAGCACAATATATTTGCCCAACCTTTGTCAATGCAAATTCGTGATTCTCTGAATAATTCGTTGTGTTCCACGTTACAGCAAGTGCGTTAGAGGGGACCTGGGCACCAGGGACAAAACTATTCGAATGCAGCCATTTACTTTCAGTTGAGATTCATCCATAATCGCTGGATGGATTCTATTGAATCTTTAGACACTTATGGAAGAATAGTTTGGCTCCAAAGCGTATGCCGCACGGCGGAATTACATTTACTTATGCCAAGATAATTGGTCCCCAAGCGGATGTTGCCGAACATGCGGACAGTTTTGTCCTTCAATGTATGTGACGTTATTTTCTTATTGGAAAGCGTACCCATTCGGCACAAGGAGGTCTGGTCAAAGCTGAGCGAGGATCGATTTTTCATCGAAGCAATGCTGCCACTATGGTGTGTTTTCGGGTGGATTCAATGTTCATGCATTGTTCACATGAAACATAATTCCACGTTGAAAATACGCTCATATGTCAAATTGCGAAGGAGTTGAATTGTTAGCGTTTGGGCATTGTCTCCTTTCCCTGAGTTTAAACGCGGCCTAATATAGATTAGAGCTTGAATGTACTCTAGTGAATACTATCACTGCACGTAGCGGTGCTTCTAAAGATGTAACTTCCTTCACTGGATAAGAATTTGGGTAAACCATTTCGTGCATGAATTTTTACAGCAAAATAAAAATAAGTAATTTTTGGTTTAATGCAAAGGAGCTATTCTGCCGTAGTAGCCTAACGTTCCACCTCGAACGTCAATTTATTTTAAATTGCAGCCAATCATACTCCGACTTCCTGACCTTCGACTGGTACTAGTTCCGTGTGAACTGGCCTCCTATTGGTGACGCTACAGCTGTTCTAAGCCAACGTCGTCTTTGACAGTTTTGTCCCTTGCACTCAGAAATGTAGAAAAGCGTTGTAATTAATATTCTTTGCCTTTTCTTTTGGCCTTCAACACTGTCTGGACACTTCAACACGGTGTTTGAAAGAAACTGTGCCAATCCGTTTTCACTATTATTAACAGTACATTTTATCAGATCGACTTCACTTTTAAACACTGCATTTAGGGGAAAAGGCCATGAGCCAAATTTTAAGAAAATTGACACATTGTATCACGTTCTATGCCGTCTCAAACTTGACATGTGAAAAGTGTGCCGTACAAGCTCAAAAAACGGAGCCAATATATTTTTATATGTGAATGATAGTAAATTTCATCCGATCCTTACACTATTTCACAAATTACATGTGGATAGATGAAAGAAGCCATTCGCAAATTTGAAAGGTATTGACAGAATGTATGAATGGACTGAGACGTATGGTGGAGGCCACCTGAAGTTTTAGGGCTGCATGACTGCCAAGAGAATAGGATATGGCAGTCGAAAGAAAGGAGGAATGGATGCCAAGCTGTATACAAATATCCTATAGGACGAATTGCTCCCGTCTATGGAGTAGTACTGGCTCGAAGCGGGAGAAGTGAAGCTCCAGCAGGACAATAAGAAACACTCCTCGAGGCTGACTAACCAATGGATCCAGCACCATTGAATCAAGGTTCCATGATGGCCAACACAATCGCCGGACCTCAACCCAATATAACATTCTTTGATAACACTTGCAATGGAGGCTGGCAGGGTACAATGTAAAAAATAAAGGTTCTTGAGTGATACTTTTATCGAACCATTTTCGAACCAAGATAGAACATGAACGCTACGACCTAGGACAGTCAGACGATCACTCCAACCGGTAACTATTACACACATTTAGTGAAAAACGGTTCTACTCTCTAAAAGTAAAGCTTCGAATTGGAATCATTTTCGATGAAACACTTATAGAGCCATTTTCGGGGAATCAAGCCTACAAACTGAAACCGCTTAACTCTTGGAGTTACCAGGATCTGAGGACTTTGACACGGCAGATGATCAATTCTATGATCTGAGACATTCGTATGATCACTCCCACGAATAACTATTGAGCAAAGATAGTGAAAAAATGGTTCTAGGGATCACAAAACCTAGATTATTGCCAAGCCCCATCCTTTACAGTTCAAGAGCTACCAAGTTATTATTATGCGTCGTTATGTCGAATAGTTTTTGACGTGGACTTTAAACCATTTCTAATGGTTTCTCGATCAGCGAAAACCGCTCTGAAAGCTGAGGGTTCTAGTCCGAACCATTATTTTTTACAGTGTACGAGGAGCCAGCCAACATCCAGGAGTTGCGACAGCGAGTCAATACCGCGTGGGGCGCCATTCCAGTTCCAGTTTTGACTTAATCAAGAACATGCCTAGAAGCGCCCAGACAGTTTTGAAGACCAAAGGAAAAAGCACAGAATATTAATCACATCGCTTTTCTCTACGCCTGAGTGAACAAAACTGTGTCAATGACCACGTTGGCTTAGAACAGCTACAGCTCCATCAATAGGAGGCCAGTTCACACGGGACTAGTACCTTTGTAAAACCAGAAAGTAGGAGTATGATTGGTTGAACGTTAAATTAAATTGACTACGTAATAGATGCTCTCAGAGAGAAATACGAGGAGTTTGAAGAAAGGAATTATGTGCAAACGGGCGCCTATTGATCCCAGAGCGGAGGAAAATATTTTGAAATGAAGTAACAAAAAGATAAGAATAATCTAAATTCCCGCTAAATGATGTTGAGAAATGGAATTGGTTTGCAAGTTATCGCTTACTTTCCTGATGCTTCTGATTTGCCTTACTCATTAATCCGGTTTGCCATCCAGATTATCATGCTGTATGAAGGAGAAGTAGCTGGACGGCAAATACACGTCGACTAGCTACATGTGGGTTATGGGATGCGAACTTACACTTTGCTTCTTTCGCTCCCATCTCACGTATCAACGGTCCATGCATCCTCAACCACTTCGGGAGGAGAGTAACGCTAGGGAAGCGATGCATAGTCTGGCATATTACAACCCTCCATTCGCGATTCAAATCCGCTTCCTTAGACCTCGAGATTCTCTGCCATCTTTGCCTTTCATTCGATTTGATCTCGATGTTCGGATTGCATCCGTTATTTTTTCTACTGCAATCGGCACCCTACCAAGTAGAATGAGGAAAACAAATCTGAGGTGTTCTGAAGCCTCTCATGTCAATAAGGAATTCACTGGCTGTACTGGAATTGAAGATTCAGCGGGGATAACAAATGAAGTACTTTTCTGTCTATTGCAATCAGTGCTGAACCACGGATCAGGCCAGAGATCACTACAGTTCTTCCAATGGACGTTGTCGGCTCCTACGCAAAAGACCAGCCTATCGTTTCTTTCCCACGGAGGAGTCCGTAACAACATGTAGACTCACACTCCCGTGA